TCAAAGCTTCATTAAAATATTCCACTCCTTGGATTTAATTCGCTCTTAATATTTATCTTTGCTAGAAAAAAGGACAACTTGATTTCTACTCATGGTTTTCAAAATTGAGGCCAGCATCTGATAATGTTTTAAAGATATTACGTTAATCCACAGAAAAAAGTGCTTTTTATATCTATTCTGCATTTCATGCAAATGTTAGCTATACAGTATACGAGATCCAGAACTTGGCAAAATCAATAAGTATCTCTAGAATAAAATATCATTAATCTGAAAACGGTTTACCTGGATACACACACACACACATAGGAGTGTGTGTATCTACAGATCTATATATACATACACACACTATATATATTAATATTAATTATATATATATATATATATATTTATTGTGGCAGTGTGAGGGAACACTGCTATATTACCCCAGAATGGCACTTTCAGTGTTTCCTTACTATCGGGGGTTAAAAATCAGGCTGCTCTAGAACACTAATTGGGGAACTACATAAACGCTATGCAGAGAGGAATCAGTCTCTCCTGTGAAGAGTTGAGGCGGAGATAGGAAGACTGTGAGCCTGAGAGTCAGAGAGACTAAGAGACTGCTAAACCAGTATAGCCAGAAATGCTATTTTGCATTGGCGTGCGCACATAGTGTGCCAGGTGTGACTGAGCACACCCTAATCTAAGGTGCCCATTTGTCCCGGACCCACATTTTGTGGTTCTGTACCGGAATGAGTTGGGCCCCATACAGTGGCGGATCCAGGGGGGGGGGCAACGGGGCAATTGCCCCCCCCGAGAAATCCGCCGGTCTCCCTCCCCTGCCAGGACATGCAGGTGCCAGCCCTGCAATGTGCCTGCGGACCGGGGAGGAAGATCAGAGATCTCCCTCCCCGGTCCGCAGGCACCGTGCTGACAGCCGGCAGGGGAGGGAGAGGGAGTGAGAGGGAGGAGAGAGGACCAGGGAGCTCTGCCTGCAGCTCCTCCGGGTCCTCTTCTCGTGAGATTTGGAGCGTTGCCGCAATTACAGCGGCAACGCTCCAAATCTCGCGAGAGTGAACTCTAGCCCGAGCGCGGGCTAGAGCTCACTCTCCCCACTGGGACCACCAGGGAATCACCACTGGGACCACCAGGGATCGAAATATGTCCCCCCTCCTCCCCAGTAAAGGTAAGAAGGGAGGGGGGACATAGGATATTTATTTTAATTAAATTAAAAAAATATATATTATAAAAAAAAAAAGCCACACACACATACATTACACCCAATACTGCCCCCCCATTCACACAAACTGCCCCAATTCACACAAACTGCCCCCAATACACACAAACTGCCCCTATACACAGAGCTGTCCCTTTAATACACACACAAACACCTATACACACAAACTGCCCCATTCACACAAACTGCCCCCAATACACGCAAACTGCCCCCCATTCACACAAACAGCCCCTATACACACATACTGCCCCCTATACACACACACTGCCCCCCATACACACACACTGCCCCTCATACACACACACTGCCCCTCATACACACACATACTGCCCCCCATACACACACATACTGCCCCCCATACACACACACTGCCCCCACATACACACATACTGCCCCACATACTTACTGCCCCACATATACACACTGCCCCCCATACACACACAAACTGCCCGCCATACACACAAACTGCCCCTCATACACACGCACTGCCCCCACATACACACGCACTGCCCCCACATACACACATTGCTCCCCATACACACACACATGCCCCCCATACACACATGCCCCCATACACTACTGCCCCCATACACACATACTACCCCTATACACACATACTGCCCCCCATACACACACTGCAACTGTTACACACACATACTGTCCCACACATACACTGCATCCCTGACATACACTGCCACCCTCACTCACACACTACAACCTTCACACACACACTGCACCCCTTACACATTGCACCACTCACACACACCACTGCTCCTATGCCCTACTACAGCCCCATTTCCCAGCAGATCTCAGGTAAGTTGTCAAACTGTTCTTAAACGGTTTGACTACTTACTGTGGGAGGGGGTCCCGGCACTATTGACACCATAACCACTACACTGAGCTGTAGTGGTTATTGTGTCTGGATTATTTCTTTAAATAATCTACAAGTGCCCCTCCCGAGATCAGGCTCTGGATCCGCCACTGTCTTGACCCCAAAATAGCAGTCAGATGTCTCCTTGGATCAAGCAGCTATTACCCCACTAATTAGAAATTATATCCCTGTATGTTATGTTTTTGCAAGTATTTATCCAATAGCAGTTTAAACATCTGTATAGACTCTGACAAAACTACCTCTTCAGACAGAGAACTCCATATCCTTATTGCTCTTACTGTAAAAAAACTTTTCTTTGCCTTAGATGAAATCTCCTTTCTTCCAGCCTAAATGTGTGACCTTGTGTCCTATGTATAGCCCTGTTTATGAATAGATTTCCAGATAATGGTTTGTACTGGCCCCGAATATATTTGTATAATGTTATCATATCCCCTCTCAAGCGCCGTTTTTCCAAACTAAAGAGATTTACATTTTTTAACCTTTCTTCATAACTAAAATGCTCCATTCCTTTTATCAATTTTATAGCTCGTCTCTGCACTTTTACTAGTGCCATGATATCTTTTGTTAGAACAGGTGCCCAAAATTGTACAGCATATTCAAGGTGTGGTCTTACCAGTGATTTATAAAGCATCAAAATTATATTTTCATCTTGAGAATTTATGCCCCTATTTATACATGACAAAACCTTACTGGCATTAGCAACGGCAGATTGACATTGCATATTGCTGCCTAATTTGTTGTCTATAACAATTCCCAAATCCTTCTCGTGTGTGGTTATCCCTAGTTCACTACGATTTAGGGTGTAAATTGCTTGTGCGTTCTTAACCCCGAAGTGCATAACTTTGCATTTCTCTACGTTAAATTTCATCTGCCATTTTAGTGCCCAGTCCCCCAATCTATCCAAATCCATCTGCAGCAAGACAATATCCTGCTCACATTTTATTACTTTACAAAGTTTTGTGTCATCTGCAAACACAGATACATGGCTTTCAATGCCCATTTCAAGATCATTTATAAATATGTTAAATAGAAGCGGTCCCAAAACAGAACCCTGAGGGACACCACTTACCACTTTTGTCCAGCTTGAAAATTTACCATTAATGACAACTCGTTGTACTCTATCCTTAAGCCAATGTTCTACCCAAGAACAAGAATATTAATCTAGACCAATTTATTTTAGTTTGAAGACTAACCTATTGTGAGGAACCGTATCAAATGCCTTGGCAAAATCCAAGTAGATCACATCCACTGCAAAACCCTGATCTATACTTCTACTTACTTCTTCGCAGAATGCAATTAGGTTAGTTTGACATGACCTATGTTTCATAAAACCATGCTGATTTTTGCTAATAACACAGTTCTTCCCAATGAATTCCTGAATATTATCCCTTAATAGCCGTTCAAATAATTTCCCAGTCCCAGAAGTTAAGCTCACAGGTCTATAATTTCCAGGCAAGGATTTTGAACCCTTTTTAAATATAGGAACAACATCGGCCTTCCTCCAATCCTCAGGTACAATACCTGAAACAAAAGAATCTTGAAAAATTAAATACAGAGGTTCACTTATTTCCCCACTTAGCTCCTTAAGTACTCGTGGGTGGATACCATCAGGCCCGGAGCTTTATTTACATTCATTTTCTTTAATAGCTGTAGCACCTTGTCTCGAGTTATCCAATCACAAGTTATCAGCAAGTTTGTTGCAGCAATCATTTGCTTATGTCTTGCCATAGGATCCTCATTACTATATACTGAAGAAAAATAGTTATTTAAAATTTCTGCCTTTTCCTGGCCTTCATTAACTAACAGACCCATCTCTGTTTCCATTGTACCTACACTATCAGTTTTTTTAGAATTGATGTACTTGAAAAAATTTTGGGGTTGATTTTGCATTCTTTGGCTATCAATTTCTCATTTTCTAGTTTAGCCACTTTAATTGCCTTTTTGCAATTGGTTTACTTATATCTTATATAGGATGCCTCTGATTTGTCCGATTTAAATGCTTTAAATGCCCTTCTCTTATTTTTAATCTTGTGTTTTACTTCTCTACTAAGCCACATTGGTTTTAATTTGTTTCTTTTATATTTATTACCCAATGGTACATCCTGAGTAATGTACCTTTCTAATATTTGTTTGAATAGTTTCCATTTTTCATCAGTGTTTTTATCACTAAGGAGTTTATGCCTGTCGATATGTTGTAGAGCTGCCCTAATCTTATTAAAATTGTCTTTTTTAAAATTATACGTTTTAATATACCCCACATGCTTTTGCTTTTTTGAGTTTATTTCAAAAGTTACCATATTGTACCATATTTCAAAAGTTACTAAGTTACCATATTTCAAAGGTTACTATTTCCCAAATGCTCCCCTACTTGAATGTTGGTTAAAAGATCAACATTGTTTGTGATAACGAGATCCAGACAAACATCCTTTCTAGTTGGTGCTTGTACCAGTTGTGACATAAATGTGTCATTTAACACATTCAAAAACTGGATTCCCCTTGCTGAAGTACTAGTCCCTCTATCCCAATTTATGTCCGGGTAATTAAAATCTCCAATACCCCGATTTTCAACTTTCCCAATTTGCTCTAACAGCAGATCTTCCTCATTAATAATTACATTTGGTGGTTTATAACATATCCCAACCAATAATTTATTTCCCTTTGTTTGCCCCAAGCAGATATCTACCCATAAATCTTCCACATTTTCCTCGTCACACTCCACATGCCTAAGATTTGACTTTAACTCATGGCTGACATACAAACATACCCCACCACCCTTCTTGTTTTTCCTATCCTTCCTAAATAACGTGTACCTGTAATGGACCGTTTTGCACACAAGGGGTAAAAATCGTTTAGGCGATCGTCCCCCTTTCCAGAGATGCAGGCACAGCTATTGTAGAACACCAAACTCACGAACCGCCAATAAGGGAATGCTCCAAACTACCGAACGGCATCCAATATAGCACTCCAAACACACGAACTGGAACCATACGAATCACTGCTAGCAGACGAATAGGAAAAGCATCCAAGCGGCTTACACTCCTAGCAATCAGTCTCTATCAGCATTAAGTAAATCCCCCCCAAAGACGAGACAAAGCTCCGTGTTGAAGGTCAAGCAGTGAACAGACAGAGCTGTGGGTTTATTGTTCTTATATACACATTAGTACCGCCCACAGGGTTTTACACAACAACCAATCATAAACGTACATTACAGAAACACTCCCAGCAATTACACACAAAAATCCTCCCCTCCGCCTGTGATCTAATTATGGCACACAATGCTTAACATAATTACCACAAGCAGGAAAAATACAGTTTTTATACATGTACTATAACTTTAAAACTACACATCCAATCTTCATAATCAGCACACTTTAAACATAAACATAACCAAAAATCAGCCAAATCCATTCAGGGGTTAAAAAGTTAGCTGGAGGTCCCTTTATGACCGACCGCAAGCACATTTTCATGCCCAAAACAGTTCCATAGATTTGGGCTGTGCGGCCGGTCTATTTAAGGCTGAAAAAACGACTAAGTCCCATCGCCAAATGGGACTTAGTCTCTGCAGCTGTAAAATCAGTAGGGGAGAATGTAGAGCTCAGCGGTGTTCGTGGAAATGTGTAGCCGATTTTAGTTCCATGAATTTGGCTACACATACCGCTGACCTCATTCGCATTAACAAAGATGTTCGGCAAACGAACAAAGGCCACCCAGCTTTCGGCAATTAAGCTGCGGTTAACCGCAGCTTCTGGGAGGTAAATTGCCTGCACACTTCCACTTCTGGGTGGTCTGCCTGTGTGGTACTTGGTTCAGTAAGCCCCATTCACTGAACCAAGTGGGAAATAGCCAGGCACAAAGGGTTTGAACCAGGTCTGGGGACACAGGTGACACCGTCCTAAAGGGGCAGTGTCCCAAACAAGTCTGGGTACACCATCTTAAAGGGGCAGTGTCCCAATCTTCCTGATGTCCCAAAAAGGTGTTTAAAGGGCCAGCACCAGTCCCATAAAGAGTCCATAAGCCACAATATGCCCAATGACTGTCTTAAAGGGCCATACACACCCAATAAAAGTGCATAAGTTTTCACCATCTCCCAGGGTCCATAGTCATGTGGAAGGAGGCTGGCAAATAGGCTTCTCCAATGCAATGTGGCGAGATTGGTCTCGTCACAGTACCCATTTAAGTTAACTGCCCAGTCCTGTGTCTCATCCCACCATGTTTCTGTTATGCCTATTATATCATATTGTTTAGTGTATGCTATTGCCTCTAGTTTCCCCATTTTGTTATATAGGCTCCTTGCATTAGTAAGCATACATTTAATATTACCATGAGTCATTTGTACTTTTTGTGAATTATCAATATTACATACCTCCTCTGTTCTGAGCTTTCCCCTCCCCCCATCTCCACCCCCTTTGTTCTGAGCTAAAGCCCATCTCCTTTCTATCCTATCTCCATTTTCTAGATTGCTTTGACCCTCCCCACCTACAACGAGTTTAAAATCTCCTCTAACCTACTAGCCATCCTATCCCCCAGCAAAGCAGACCCTCTTCCGTTTAGGAGCAATCCATCACGACTATACAGGTTGTACCCAAGCACAAAATCGGCCCAGTGCTCTAAAAACCCCAAACCCTCTTTCCTGCACCAAGAC